GGCTGTCTCCCCATCTGCGTCCATCGTGAACTTGTTAATCAGAGAAGACGCATAGCTCACCAGCCATGGTATTATCGGGGGACTCTCACCAAACTCAGTCTTATAATTGGCATCCAAGGCGCTCTTTAACGTTCTGACTTGACCCTGCACCGTCCTAACAGCCCTCCCGATTTCACCGTTGGCCTTTGAGTCACCTACTGGACTGACTTCAACACCCATGTCAAGGTCACACGACGCTTTAATTCTGTTGGCCAGTGCTGTGATTGCCGCTTCTCCATCGCTTTTGAGTATAACCTTCTTATATCCGGTAAAGCTGATCATGTCACATCCCACCTTTACTGAGTATGAGTCCACTCCCTTTTCATCAACACTCTGCTCCATGTTAATTTGGTATCCCTGCAATGCATGACCAGAATTGGGTTGCCATTACTGGCACTTTCACCTTCTTCCTTTTCCTTTAAGCCACATGTAGTCCATCGAAATCACTGGCACGTTTCCGTTCCCTTCTCTTTTGCGTCTACGGTGATTGCGCCTGCGTGCTTTTCCCCTAACACAATGTGGGCACCAGCTTCGGTAAGGTAAATGCGTCGTGTTATGCGTCTCAACTTCCTCCTTTGAGGGCCTCATGTCACAGTAAACTTTCTTCGGCAACTCCGCTTCATCGCTCACAAATACATCTTCCACATCACTCTACTCACTCTCGTTGCCCCCACTTTCACTCCCTTCATCTCCTTCGGTATTAAAGACGTTTAAGTTTTCGCTTGGTCTTACGGGTAATGGGGGGGTTAGTAGAACAGGTCCGCCTCCAGGGTTCCCGGCCGCGGAAAACCCTCAGCTGCGTTCACTTCACTCCTGGGATTGACAGCTTCCGCTGGTCCCCTCGGCACTGTGATGTTGAACTGAAACGTGCCGTTCTTCTCGTGGATAGTTGTGAATTTACCTGTGGCCTTATTCATGATGTAGCTCAGTGACCTCCCGTTAAGATCTTTGTCAAACACAACTCTATTTCCAGCGTTTACCATTTCTCTGACGGATCCCAGAACTTTGTTGACTTCCGCTACCTGGATCGGCATACTGACTGCGTTCCCATGTTCATTTTTGCCCGTGATCACTCGTTGACCATAATTCTTTATCGTTGTCCCATTCGCTGCGCTGTAATGCCTTCCCTGCTTTGACGCATCCGTATGCTTAATGGGGAAAGGGGTGCCAACCTTGGGGGGTCCCACTGTATTCAGACTCATCGCAGTTTTACGCGCCATCTTCTTTCTGGCATATGAGGGCAGATCCCATTGCCCGTTAACCTCCTCAGTTGCGAGTGGGTCCAGTGGCACGTTCACTGCGTTCTTCATCTCACCGCTGAGAACATGTTGCGGTTGGCCGAACGAGGTGGTTTGTTCACTTTCAGCGTTCATTGTAGGTCTCTCCTGCTCAACTTCGCTGGCGGTCTTCTTGGAGCCCGGGCAGTTAATGGCGATGTGCCCTTTGGCACCGCACTTGTAACACTCACGCTCGCTATGGGGGGTGAATTTTCCTTGGCCTCCATAACTTCCACCCCACGAGCCACTTCCCTTACCACCTTGTTTACCGCCGATCTTACCTTTCACGTAGGATCCGTAGGTGGCCCGGTAACCCTTGCCTTTTCCGCCTTTGCCACCTTTACCTCCTTTGGTAAACTGTTTAGGTATTGTGCAATTTCTGGCTAAATGACCCATGCCTCCACAATTGTAACATTTGGGGCCCGCGCCTTTACCTTTGCCTTTGTTCACGGCGTCAACTTCTTCATGGCCCCCACTGTCACTCTCATTGGCCCAGGACCCGTAGCTCCACGATCCATCTTCTGGCCGCCAGTTTCCGCCCTCGTCAACCCATCCTGTTTGGTCCCAAACATTTTCGGACCCTTGACCCATCTCGTTGATGTTCCCAATGCCCATCGCATCTTTATTTGTTGTGTCTGAGTCGAGTTTCTTTTTACGCGCCCAGTCTTCGCACTTGGAGTATAACTTCTGGAATGAGTCAACGTTAAGCGCGTCGGGCGTTCGCCAGCACGCCTGCTGCCACTCATCAAACCAATCGTTCGCATGCACCATTATTGCCCTGAGCGCGGTGACTTTAAAAGGAAGAGGCAGCGAGAAATATTTACCGTACTTTTCAAGGTTTTCTGCCAATGCGCTCCACTCCTCAAGTCGGGTAACGGCGTCAGTAATCTTCTTGGGCGGCTCAGGGTTCACGGCGCGCGTCATCTTTGATGACAGAGTCGCCCCGGTAACAGCCGAGTACCATGTGTAGACCTTTTGCCAAGCCATGATTCCATCTCCATCCATAAGTCCCTTCAATTTTCCTCTTGCTTCTGCACCTTCGAGCTTCTCGTTGAGAATGTACCATAAGTCTTCCTCCATTTGAGTTTTGTCTCCCTCGGTAAACTCGTACTCTCCTTTGTTGTCATCCTCTGCTTGTTTAGCTGAATTCGCCTTCAAGTATTCGCTTGCTGTTAATCGGCCGTTCATTATGCGTATGATGTCATCATCGTCCTCCTCTGGTACAACTCCGTCGAGCGTCTCCAACTGCTTGTTTAGCATTTTCAGCGCCGGTCGGTAACTCGGTTTTACTTGGGCCAGTGCGTTTAAGAACTTGTCGCTCCAGTCTCTGAACTTTGCTCTTTCTCCACTGAAGTTCTTTAACGCCTGTAATGCCTTATATTCGCTTATCGGTTTACCGCTCCCGTGCTTGCTTCCACTTCCTCCTTTGATTGCTTCCGAAAGCTGACCAATTTGTTCAATCAACTGTTCTTGTACCTCGCCGTTGGTCTCCAACTCGGCGACTCTTTCCACCAGTCTGCGAGCATCCCTTTCAAGTGCAGCATTTCTTTTCGTAATCGCTAACAACATGCTGTTGGTCTTATGAGCACTCTGTAACATTTGGAATGCCTCGGCGTTCGATACCTCCCTTCGGTCCTGTGTCACTCGCTCGTTGATGAACGTTGCGAGTCCGAAATGGTTCGCGAGTAACGCTGTCTGCACGTAACTGAAGTCTCCGTTCAGGTATGCTTGCTCACACAGGTCGTTGAAGCGGTTAGGGTCCATGTTGACCCATGCGTCTCTGTCTGCCGGCACATTGAGGTTAACCGGCGGGTCGCCCTGCCCAGGCCTAGCTGCAGCGGCCGCCGCCGCCATGGCAACCGCGCTCCGCTACCATGCAAAACCCCGAGGAGGGTTCTGCACGGGAGCCTGGTAACAATGATGATGATCGGTCACCTTTATACTCCCGCACGGCGAAGCAAGTCTCAGTAGCTTCAGCCGTTAAACACTTGAGCCAAAGGCAACAGGCTTACTATTCCTCCCCAGTCACCTGAACGCTTGCATGTTAACACCTCCTCCTCCTCCTCCTCCTCCTCCTCCTCCTCCTCCTCCTCCTCCTCCTCATCTTCCTCTTCCTCTTTCCCCTCCTATTCCTCCTATTCCTCCTCCTCCTCCTCCTCCTCCTCCTCCTCCGAATCCATGATCCTCATTTGTCTTCCCTCTCCTCCTCTTTTTTCTCTCCCCCACGCGTTCCCCGAAGGGCTTCAACAACGGCTGGAGGATAGTCCGATAGCTTGGCCGAGCTCTGGCCGCAACGTTCGGCCACGTAGTCGTTTCCAAAAGGCAGGGGGCGGCGGTGCATCGCCATAGGCGTCTTCGATATTCATACTCATCCGTTGGTGCGTTGCTTATGTACCATGTCTGACATAATGAGCAAATACACCACGCACACGGGGAAAGGTGAGGAAGGGATTAACTACTCCGACGGTAGGACCCCACACGAAAACCTATGTAGCTCGTCCCTCGCCCTTTTCTTCTGCAACTGGCGGAGGACTTCCTTCCGCCCTCTGCGTCCTCCTCATCATCCCCTCCTCCTCCTCCTCCTCCTCCTCCTCCTCCTCCTCCACCTCCTCCTCCTCATCCCCCTCCTCCTCCTCATGATCCTCATCCTTCTTTTCCTGTTCCTTCTCGTCCTACTCGTTGCAGGTCTGATCCTCTTCTTCTTCTTCCTCCTCCTCCTCCTCCTCTTTCCGCCTCCTCCTCTCCTCCTCCTCCGTCTCTTCCTCACGTTCCTACTCTTCCTCCTCGCCCTTTTCCTCTTGCTCCTCCACCTCCGCCTCCTCCTCCTGTGGTGATGACGGTGTGTGACTGATTGAGCGCATGATAGTGCGATCGTGTGTGGTGAGTGTGACTGATGATGATGGTGCGAATGATTGAGTGAGTGAGTGTGCGAAGGGAGCAGAAGCTGAAGGTGTTATGATGATGATGGTGCGTGAGTGATTGAGCGAGTGAACGCGCGAAAGCAGAAGAGGGGAGGGAGTGAGGTGACAGGACTGCGCGGGGTGTCCAGAGAAAACCAGACCCTAATTTATGATGTGGGGAAAAAGAACGGGGAAAGCGAAGGAAGAGGTGGAGGAGGAGGGGAGGAAGGGCAGAAGACGAGCGAGCGGCTACGACTATGTCAGCGAGCGGCAACCTGCGGGAGGACGCAAAAGCCTGCCGCACGGGCCCCGTGCCACCGGCGGGAGGAGAGGAGAGGAGGGAGCCGGAAGGGCGAAGGAGAAAGAGGAAGGCAGGAGTAGAACGACGATTATCGACCTCATCGAGCGAAGCTGGTGACCTCGCCGCGACAACAGACCGCGCACGTGCGGCGGCGGAGCAACACGCGTGAACACGCACGACCTGGGGGTGAGCAACACTGCGGCCCGCCCTCCGCCGCGAGGAGGAGAACGAGGAGGAGAAGGAGGAGAAGGAGGAGGCGAAAGCGGAGAAGTGGCGGGGCGAAAGAGAAGGTGTAGAAGGATCCTATCCACTGTTGATGATAGCCCGAAAAAGGCCCCCGAAAGGTGAAATCGAAGACAAACGCATGTGGGGAAAAAGTACATCGGCGCAGATCCAGGAAGATGGCCGAGGAGGACGAGGAGGCGAAGAGCGGAAAGAGATGCTGGGACAGGACCCGGCACGGGGCCGCCGGCCCCCGAGCTCCTCCAGGTGCTCTTCCGTCAGATCGAGCAGCTCCTCCGGGACCCAGGCTCATCCCCCCAACCGAGGCCCCGGCTCAACCATTGCTCAGTGGGACTGCGACTCGTCGTGCGGAAGAAGTAGGGCAAAACATGGAGCACGAAGGCGGATAAAGTAGAGTGAGTTCAGGCCTTCCCCGATAATAACAAAACACAGTGAAAGCAGATCGTTTCTTGAAGTAGGAAGGCGATTAAAGTAGATTGGGCTCTGGGGATCCAACAAAACCTACTTTCAACGACTGGCGCGTACTCTCATCTCTGCCCTGACCATGTCCTGGAAGCCGCGCCCACTGCGTGCTTCGCTGCTCTTCCACACAGGACTTCAAGAGCTGGTCTTCCGTGTGGCGTTTTGCTTCGGAGCGCTGTTCGTGTCTCTGAATGGCCCTCTCGCTACAGCGTGGGCCTCGCTTGGGAATGGCGGGCGGGGCTGTCTCGGCCATGACTGGACCGGCGGAGGCAGGGCGGTGCCCCAGCCGGCCCCTCTGCCACCGCCGCGCCCTCTGCTCCTGTCCCCACCGGCCCCAGCAGCGCCTGCGCCACCGCCTGCACCCGCGCCCCCAGCGGCCGCCACCGCGCGTGCGTCGATCGCCTCCGTCCTCTCCATGGACCGCTCGACCTCCCAGTCCTCCTCCGCGCGGCGCGAGACGCGGCCGTGCAGCGCGGGCGCCTCAGACCCCGACGGCGCCCCGTCGTCCTGCATGGGCGCCACGCCGCGGGCAGCCGTGACTGGGCCGACGCCCGCGGGGCCCGCTGGGGGCTGGGGCCGCGGGGCGCCCGGCGCCGGATGGTCGAACGAGAGCCGGGCCACCTCGGGCAGGACACGCCGGATCCAAGCCGCGCGAGCGGCCGGCTCCACGGAGCGGAGCAACGTCACGAACATGTCGAAGGCCCGCCTGGGCTCCAGGCGCAGAGGCGGCGGGGGCGGCGGTGGCGCCCCGGCCGCTCCATCCGAGGCCAGGCGCGGCAGGCCGCCATGGGCCGCCTCATCGGCGGGGCGCGGAGGGTCACCGCGGGCCGCCCCTCGACCGCTGCGAGGTCGCCCATGGACACTTGCAGCCGAAGCGGCCCAGGATGGCCGTTCAGGCGCGCCGGCGATACCAGACCGTTCGTCGGCGCCCTCCTCCGCGTCGCCGCTGTCGCCCCCGCCGCCGGCCATGACCACATTGCCGGCGGCGCCCACGATAGCGACCACGACGCCCACGTCCTCGGCGGAGGGCGGCAGCGGCAAGAGGGCCCTCGCCGCGGTCGCCCTGCTCCGACCCCAGAGAGCAGGAGCCGTCGCTGGATGGCAGGCCCACGAGGCGCGGGTTCGCCGCGCCGACCTGGAAGAACTCGAGCACAGTCCCGGCAGGTTCAGGACGCGGGCGCCTCGTCGTCCGAGGCCAGCTCCGAGTCCTCGCCAGGCCCCTCCGTCCCGCCACGCACCCGGCGCGTCGCGCTCACGATCGCGCCATTCATGACGCCCTGGGCAAGAAGGCTGGCCCCAGTGTCTGGCAGCACCGCGCTGCCGTGGTCAAGAACGACGCCCCCGAAGATCCGTGGAGCTGAAACGCGCCATGAAGCGCCGTAAAGGCGCGGCGCTACCGTCGAGGCCCACGCCCACTGGCACCAGGTCCACAGGCGTCTCGAGGAAGTTGCGCGCGTACACCGTCGCGTCCTCGACCGTCAACTCGCCGCCACCGATGCTGCAGCGACCGAGGTGGGTGTCGCGGTCGGGGCCATCGTCGGTGCTGCGCCCACGGCTGACGCGCCCTCGAGGCCGCGGTCGGCGGCGAGAGTAGCCCGGCTGGCCAGCCCCACGAGCCAGGAACGTAATCTTTGGGTTTCGGGCGAACGCGGGGGAATGCGTGATCTCCCAGGTGGCGAGAAGAGGTGCACCTTCCGTTGCGCCAGCCATTGGCTCCACGTTTGCGGCTGCGTGGCGCTTCGCCGAACCTGCCGCCCAACCCTCCTCAGCAGCCGACGACGATGCTGCCCGTGCTCGGCGTTGACGTTGGCGATGTTGCATCGAGGAGGAATGACGATATCCGTGTAGAACGTTTTTGGCGGGCAAGCTCGCGGCGCACTCTGAGGCGGTGCTGCGGCGATGTGGAGGCGGCGCTCCGCCTGCCACATCCGCCGCGGCCGGCGCCACCTCGGGACGGGCCATGCTTGCGCCACCCATCAAAGGCGACCAATTGTTCACGTGGAGGATGGATTCTGGCCCTTTGCTGTGCTGCATGCGGCTGAGTTCGGCCTGCGCGAGTTCCATTTCATCAGCCGCACGACCCGTGGGACGTGGCATTCCCATCATCGGAGGTTCGGCAGGGTTGAGGCGTGGGCCATGCGGCTGATCAGAAGCACAGGTCCGATCGAGATGGGGCTCAGTGAGTACAGTGTCCATCTGACATCCAAGAAGAGCGGCCCACAGTGCAAAGGCCCAAGTGCGCAGAGCCTCCACCTGACTCACATGATTGACAATGATCTCGAGTGCTTGCGGGGACCCCGCGGGTAATTGCGGCGAGTCGGTCAGGTCTCGCAAGGTCATCCAATACACGGGGGCAGACCCAGTCGGCGACCTCCAGGACTGGCCCGAGGCGGCCAACGACCTCGTGTGCCGCATCGGCAACTGGCGCGAGGATACTGGCACATTATTATGTGGGATGTATGGGTGTATATTTCTGTGGGGTATAGTATGGGCGTATGGGTGTATTATCATGCAGGGTGTGTGGGCTCATTACATTACGAGGTGTATGGGTGTATTATTATGTGGGGCGCATGGGTGTATTATTAGTTTATGGGTGCAGGTGCAAGGACGCCCACGGGCAAGACGCCGCTGCAGCTGATCGAGCAGCGCCGGCGCCGCCGCGACAGGGCGCGCCGCCGCCCGCCGACGGAGGAGCTCGGCGATAATGGCCCCGGCGAGTCCGATGTCGATGATGATGATGATGATGATGATGATGATGATGATGATGATGATGATGATGATGATGATGATGATGATGATGATGATGATGATGATGATGATGATGGTGGTCGTCGCCCTCAAGAGCCTCCTCGTCAGCAGCCGCAGCAGGGGGCGAAGCCGAAGATGCGGCAGCCGGGCGGCCGCCGGCGTCGTCGTCGCGAGCGCCGCAGACGCCTCCCAGGGCGCCGGACTCCGCCGACGCCCTCCGCGGCCCAAGCGGCGCCCAAGCGGCGGGCGGCGCCGCCGTCGCACCCGCCGCCCACCAGTCTCTTAGGCAGGGCGCCCAGAGGTTCGGCTGGATCGGCCGATCAGGCGGCAGGCGCTGGCCCCCGTGCAGCAACGCGCCGACGACGATCAGGCGACGACGACGACGACGACGACGACGACGACGACAGCAACGCGCCGCGGGGCCCGCCGCCAGGCCGCCCGTCGTCGGCGCCGGGCGCGACTACGGTGCAGCAGCAGACGCAGGAATTACAGCTCCGAGCGGAGGTCTTGCAGGCGACGGTGGACACCCTGATCGGCATTGCTGGATGCGGCGGCATGCCGATGGCCCGGGCGGCGTGTTCAGCTAGCTCGGCTACGGCGGCTGCATCGGCTGCCAGAGGAGGGTGGCGTGGCTGGCGCCCAGCCTCGCACCACTCAGCCGCGTGGAATTCGAAGAAGTTGGCTAGGGCCAAGATGCATGCCGCCGGCGTCAGGCCATCAAGGGTCCGCACGGCCCCGCAGCCCGTCATGTACAGCCAATGCCACCGTAACCAGCCTGGCTCCTATCGCATGAGGATGGCGCGCAGGGTGTGCTGCCAGGGCTTGCAGCAGTCTGACTCGGACAACATTTGCGAGCAGCACAGCGCTTGAAAGGAGCGCTCATGCCACGCGCGCACAGATGCCCTCTGTTTTGCGATCGCGGCGCTGTCGTCGGCAATTTGACGATTTCGTGATCATCGCCGCTGGGCCACCTTCATCATGATCACAAAAGCGACCTTGGCGCTTAATCGGCGTCCAGATGTGGATAACAAAAAACATCATCATCATGCATCAGAGGAGGGGTAGACTGACGGTGGGGCAGAGGCGGGAGACGGCAATCACGAGGAGAACGAAGATATGGATGATGATGATGATGATGATGATGATAATAATGATGATGATGATGATGATGGTGATGATGATGTTGATGATGCTGATGATGCGGATGATAATACTGATAGATAGATAAATAGATAGATATATATATATATATATACGTATACAGATAGATAGATAGATAGATAGAAAGATATATAGATATATAGATAGATAGATAGATAGATAGATAGATAGATAGATAGATAGATAGACATATATATACAGATAGATAGATAGATAGATAGATAGATAGATAGATAGATAGATAGATAGATAGATAGATAGATAGATATATAGATAGATAGATAGATAGATAGATAGATAGATATGAAGATGTGGATGACGATGCTAATGATGCTGATGATACTGGTAATGATGGGAGGGGCGAGGACAATGACGCATTGCCCAACGGCCCTCGGCGTAGACGTTGCTATGGAACAGGTTCGAGAAGCTTTGCGCTGGTGCAGAACTGTTTTTTTCAAAATCGACTTGGGAAAAAGGATCCCCCCAACTCCCAGGGCCCCCGTTGGTTGCCATTTCTTTATACGGGCATGGCGGGTTATCGACTGGCGATCTTGGTGGCGGTGGCAGGCCATTCGCTCTTTTTCAGGGGGGGTGCGCCAGTTGCGATCTGGTGGCCTCGGCGGCACTCCCCTGCCATGCCGGCGGCATCCAGCGCCTTCAAGGGCGCAGGGAGAGTCACGAGAAGAAGCTGGACCCACTCACCTGACCTGACTGCGTGCCGCCCCGCGGTTTGCCTCAGCTGCGCCTCGCAGAGAGCTTTCAGTGTCGTCGCGTTCCTCTGGAAAGGGTGGCTGCGTCGATCGAGCCGAGGCTCGGGTGTGCCACCGCTGCACCGGGATGAGTTACGCGCTGTCTGTCACCAGCTCCTCGCGAATGGGCTCGCAATCTCCACTGGCATATTGGATTGGGCATCTCAGGGTATCTCCGACCCCACAATTAGATTGGGAATCTTGGATTGGGAATCTTGGATTAGGCATATTGGACCGGGCATCTTGGATTGGGCATCTTGGATTGGGCATTCTGAATAGTAGAGCCCTTCAGGTTCCACACGTCGAACTTCCTTCCGTCGGCGGCATCGGCCGACGGCCAGGCTGCATCGGCCGACGGCCAGGCTGCATCGGCCGACGGCCAGGCTGCATCGGCCAGAACCTAGCAGCGAACCAGGATGGAAGAACACGGAAGAGAATAGGAACAATAATATTATAGGAGATGTTGCTTCCTGCCGATCACGAGGGGCGATGCTCGGAGGTCTGAGAAGGGGCTCGCCCCCGCGCGACATTCGCATTCTTCTAGGGCCCCCATCGTCGATGTCGCCATCGCTCGGCTGCGGACGCTCGTCGATCCCCCCCCCGCCCGCCACCTCCACTGCCTGCAGCCTGCCTCCTCGGGCGCCCTTCTCGCCGCCCCCTCGCCCGGCCCCGCGGCAATTTTGGCCCCCGACCGACGCGGGCTGCAACGGCCCGACGGCGATTTAGCGCTTGCGCCCACTGACTGGCAGGGGCGCCATGGCTCCCAAGAGGCGCCAGTCAGAGGCTGGATCGGCCCCGCCACCGAGGCCAAGGTGTCGGCATCAGAGTCGAGAGATGTTGTTGTTCGGCAGGGGCGGGTCTGGCCGATTCGGCCATCAAAATTCCCGACGACCAGCGCCACGTGGTGGGCCCCGTGCTGGACCTCATCACTGAGTCCCTGAACATCATCAGCTCGTCACCCAAATTCGCCGACCTCGGTGGGTGCACGCCGCTAGCGTTCGCAGATGGCGCCCACATGGCACCGTCCAAAAAGGAGGATTGTCATGCGGCCCTCGGCGGCGGAGACCTAGCTGGCAACATCAAGGTGTCGTACACTTGCGGGTGCAAGTTGCCCAGAACTTCCATTGGAGCGCGAGTTACCGCACCCCAGCGAACATGGGGCAGGTTAGAGAGATCCACAATTTCAGCCATCCATCGATGAAACTGCCGGAGGCATTACCCATGATCACGATCTTCGCCATCGACAGCCCATCCATGGACGCCGCCCAGCCACATTGGCAGTACGGCCACATTGGCAGTACGAAGCGGCTCTCACCGATCGAGCCCCAGCTGGCCTTGTTCAGCAGCATGGCCGACGCGGTGAAGCAGGGCGCGGACAACGCCATCCTCACGCGGTGGAGGAAGCTTGCACTGTCGGCGCCAGTGACGTTTGAAGTACACAGGTATTGGCGAACACAGAACATCAGGCAAGAGTTGATCGAACAGGGCGAGACAGCCCAGCTCAGCGCCAGGCAGTGAGTGCATGACATCCTTGGGTTCAAGGAGATGAAGGAGAATGGATGGGAAAACTCTGGACAGCGAGGACGTCAGCTACCTGGGCGACAAGCACATGCCTCACGAGGACCCTGGCCACTATGAAGGGCGCCGCCGAAGGCCACAGCGACTGCGCCCATTTCGGCATACAACTCACAAGGATCGTGGCCCCAGTGAGAGCTCCGCCGAAGGCGCCAGCGGCTGCGCCCCTTTCGGCACACCCCTCACGACGATCGTGGCCCCTCTCAAGGAGGTCCACCGAGGGTCCCTGCAACTGCGCCAATTTCGGCACACCCCTCACGAGGCTCCGCCGAAAACGCTTGGCTGCGCCCATTTCGGCAACGTCCTCACAATGATGGTGGCCCCATGCCAGGGAATTCCGCCGAAGGCCCCAGCGGCTGCGCCCATATGAGCACAGCGTTCATGACGGTCGTGGCCCCTTATCAGTGAGCTCCACCAAAGGCCCCAAGCAGCTGCGCCGATTGCGACACACCCCTCACGAGCATCGCGGCACCCATGAAAGGCTCTGTCGAAGGCCAGAGCGACTGTGCCAATTTGGGCACACCCCTCACGACGATCATGGCCCCAATGCAGGGCTCCGCCGAAGCCCCCAGCGGCTGCGCCCATTTGGGCACACTCCCCGCGACGATCGTGGCCCCTATGCAAGTGTCAGCCCAAGGCCCCTGCGTCTGCGCCCAGATCGGCACACCCCTCACGAGGATCGTGGCCCAATTGGGAGCTCCGCCGACGGCGCCAGCGGCTGGGTTGCTGGTTGCTGGTTGCTGGGGGGGGGGGAAGGGGACCAATCGCGGCCAACAAGACTAAATTCTTGCCTACTGGATCCAATCTGGGCCAACTAAGCCAAATACCGGCCGAGTTCAAAGCTCTTGAGCAATCAAGAAATCTTAAGAGCGCTCTTAAGACGTCTTCAGAGCGCTCCAAAGAGGTCTGAAGACCGTTCGCGTTGCCCCCCCGTCGTCGTCGCCATCCATCCACAGCGAAAGCGTGATTCCTGAGTGTCGAGGGCGCGGCGTCTGAATACATTGCTTGCGCGGACGCCCCACGCGAGAGCGCGACTCCTGTGTAAATTGTCAGGAAGTCCCACGCGAGAGCGCGATTTGGGGAAAAATGTGAGGAAATCCGCCGGCCCTGTCGGCGTGTGTGGAGTGTCTGTCCGGTCCCGTCGACGGGGAGCCTTCTTTCGTCCCCTCTTTCCCTCCTCCTCTCCTGCCGGGGGAGGGAGAGAGAGAGAGAGAGAGAGCACCCTTCCTCGTTCGGGGAAGGGGTTCGCAGCTTGAGGGAATTCCATCCACGTCCTCATTACGTCAAAAGGAAGCCCCTTCCCTTTGTCCCTTCCCCGGTGGGGGGGGGTCCCGTGGGAGGGGTGGTCAGATTCGCATCGCCTCTGGGGGTCCTCCTCTCCCACGCCCGTCCTTCTCCCGCGCGCCGGTCCTCCTCGGGTCCTCCTCCCCAGGTTGGGAGTCAGATACGCATCCGCCCCTGGAGGTCCTTCTCCCCCTCCCCTCCACTCTCCCACGCCGGTCCTCCTCCAGTCCTCCTCCCCGGGGGACGGTTCCCAGGGGGGGGTCCTTTTCCTCCTCCTTCTCCTCCTTTTCCTCCTCCTCCTCCTCCTCCTCTCCGCCTCCTCCTCCTCCTCCTCCTCCTCCTCCTCCTCCTCCTCCTCCTCCTCCTCCTCCTCCTCCTCCTCCTCCTCCTCCCCCTCCTGGTCGTCGTCGATGTCGTTCAGGGTCGGCGGCACTGGCCGTCAGGCCTTCACAATATCAGGCGGGAGCCGCTGTTGTTTTAAAACGGGAACCAGGGGCGCAGTTTGGTGACACCTCACTTTCCCTTGCAAAAAAAAAGGTGCGAGCCCTTGGAGAAGCACTTTGATTAGAAAATGCCGAATGGTTACGGGGGAGGGGGATCAACGACAATCATTCTTTAGAAATGAGAACCGAACAACGACAGCAAAACAAACAAGCATGCGCTTGCTACATGCGCGTAGGCATACCATGTGTTTGTCAGTCCTCGAGAGCGACCTCCAGAGCGGCCGCTGGGGAGGCGGGCGGAGGAGGCAGGCGGAGTGGCAGCGACGCAGTCAGGCAGCCCCGCCCCCAGCGGGGCACGGATCCCTTGACACACACTGCAACAGTGCACGAAGGGGGAGGGGGAGGAGGAGGGGGAGGAGGAGGAGGAGGAGGAGGAGGAGGAGGAGGAGGAGGAGGAGGAGGAGGAGACGGAGGAGAAGGAAGAGAAGGAAGAGGAGGGCCGTCGTTGCCTCGACTGGCTCCCCCCGGATGGGAGGCAACGCTGAGCAGCAGTAGGCCTCAGCCACCTCATCCCTGCCCGAGCCCACAGCCTTGTTCAAAAACATGCACGCTCTTCGCTGCCCGCGTCGCACAAGATGCACACCCCAAGCGCCCGATGCCCTCTCTCCTCGCCTGTGACCAAGCAGCATCGACAACACTCAGGCCTTCGTGCCCAAACCTGGGGTCCTGGCCGCCGACGTGGTGCTTCACAAAGAGCTGGCCGAGAGCCGGGAGATTCAGCTCCTCGCCGAGGTAGCGGCCGACGTCCTCCACCTCGCGGGGGGGTGGATGGGCAGCAGAAGCTGTACAGTCAACCCGTATAATAAAGACGCACGATAAGGATGCAAGACCCTCGGAAGGCCATGTCGACACTCTGCGAGCGGGGCGCGGCCAGCGAAAGCAGCCAAGGATGAGCCGAAGGGCAAGGATGCAAGGCTAAACTTGGAAAGTTGCTGATCCTTACTATGCGGGTTGACTTTAGCAGTTGTGGTCGCTGTGCAGTCGATACGCTGGAACAGAGACAAAGTTGCACATGTTCGAGGTCCAAAGGGGCTCTGGTTTTCGGGTCGTTCCTTAGGTCTAAGTCGGAAGACCAATTCGTGGCCGATGCTCGCTGTGGCTAGGAAAGCGCCTCCGGTCGTCGTTCTGCGATCCTGATGGTAGCCCGATGACTTTAGTTTGTGTTGTTGTCGTCATAATTGTAGCTGTAGTCGATGTAGCGCATGCCTCAATACGTGCGGCAATGGCGATAATAGTAGAGTCATTCTAATGAAATTCAGGTGCGGCACAGCAACATGCGCTGACCACGCAACTCGCTACAGCAAGCAGACACTTCTGGCTTATACTATCGTCTCTCTGCTAAGAACTCTCACCCTTCTAACCTTTCTACCCCCTGCCGTGCTTATATATACTGTCTGCCCCTGACCTCTACTCGTTCCTCTATCTCTCTGCCTCACTTATCATTACATACATATACGAACATACATGTATAAGCATATATGTATGTGGATATCGTATATATCTCTCCTTTCCTCTCTGTCTCTCTCTCTCTCGTTCTCTCCCTCTCTCTCTTTCTCCCTCTCTCTCTCTCTCTCTCTCTCTTTCTCTCGCTCTTAATATCCCCGTATCTCAATATTTCAAAGTATCCATGTGTCTCTTTGCTCTGTTGGTAAATCGGAACTGCATTCATATCTATACACTACAACCACGCTCGCGCTACGCGCGCGCTGAAATTCTAGTTGACTCTGGAGTCACAGAGAAGAGATGAACCCCAGGATGCCAGAAGAGAGATTCCAGGATACCAGAAGATACGACTTGCTAGGTATCCTCCTCCTCCTCGCCGTGTCAGCAAACCTCCTGTTCCAATGAGGGGAAATGATAATCACGTGCCCAGAATGCTCTCCGGAACCTGAGGGTTGCGGCCGTGTGGGGGCCATCGTGGAGGCCTCTGTAAAGCCTTGTCGGGGTGTCGAGGCTCATTTTGAAGGCTTGTGGGGCGCCTCAGCAGCGTGTAAAAATCTTTTGGAATGTCGAGGCTCGAAGTAAACCTTCTTGCGGTGTGCGGGGGTTCTCTCGTGGATGCCTCTTGGGCCGTCCCTGCGCGGCAGGAAACAGAGCAAACAACCAACTACCAATCATTGAAAACTATACAACATCACGGATTTCTCCTAATTGCGGCGCTCCTCATTGCGGAACCTCCTAGGGGCGTCTTGAATGCCTCGTGGGCAACATGGAAGCTTTGGTAGGCGTGCTGTGGCCGTCTTGGACCCCTGCGGGCCTTCTTTACGGCCCTCTTGGCGTGGCGGCCAGGCTCATTTGGAGAGCCGCCTGCAGCGCTCTTAAGCCATCTTGGGCGCCTCTTGGGCCAGTTTGGCGCCGACTTGGAGCGCGTTGGGGCCCTCGTGCACGCCTCGTGTGCCGTCTCCGAGCGTCGGGAAGCGAAGCAGGCGACCACGCGAAAATCAATGGAAAACCAATGAAAATCTGTGATGTTTGCCTATTGGGGCTGGTTCGGATAGAAATTTCGAGTCCTCTTGGGCCGCCTTGGACCCCTCGTGAGCCGCATCGGAGCAATGGTGGGCGTGATGGGGCCGTTTGGGAGCCCTGTGGGCTTCCTTGAGGACCCTTGTGGCGTGTCTAAGTTCATTTGGGGAGCCACCTGGAGCCCGCTTGGGCGATTCTGGGTGCCTCATGGGCCGCCTTGGCGCCCGCTTGGGGTGTCTTGGAGCCCTGTTGGGCGCCTCTTGTGCCGTCTCCGCGCGTCGAGCAGCAGAGCAGGCGACCACGCGAGAATCTTTGAAAAACCAAAAAGAAGATCAATGATCTTGGCCCCCAGAGCCTCTCGGGGATCAGCTTGAAGCCTCTTGGTGCGCCTCGGAGGTCAGCTGAGCCCGCATCGGAGCAATGATGGGTGCGCTGGGGCCGTGAGAACCTTGTTCGGGGTCCTTGTAACGTGTCCGAGCTCGCGTGGGGGCCGCCCGGAGCCCTCAGAGATGAGCACGCCATCGAATCATTATCAGGGGCGCTCTGGCACTCCAATACATTGATGTGCTCTGGAACGTCCCAAACCAGCTGTCGAACTTTACGCCATTGTCAAATGCCTGCATCAATCTCCTGCAGAACGAATATCTCACCGAGTTCCTCATAGCTCCCGTCTGCACCATTGCTGTGGAACTCCCAAGCCTTCCCGAGACGTCTGAGTCTCTCCAGGAAGTCGCAACACGCTCGGGCAGCACGGCAAGCAGCACGTCCGCGTGGCAGGGCGCCGCCTGCCCGCAGCGGCACGCAAGGGTAGCCCCGCGCAGGTCCTCCAGGCGACTCAGCAGCTGCGGCTGCCCCCGCAGCCAGCCCGCGAACAGCGCCACTGCGTTTCGCCAGCAGCTCGGGCTGATGGCAAAGGGGTTGCCCCAGCAGGAAGGCTCCAAGCTCCAGCGCCGCGAGCCACGGCCGACGAAAACCACCGCTGGCGGCTCCTGGCTGGCGCACCCTGCAGCTGCCACCCCCAGCTCGCGGGAGACCTGCCCGTCGAGCTTCACGCGCCCGCAGCACAGCGAGGCGAGGTCGCCAGCCCACAACTTGCGACCTTCAGCCCAGGCGCGCGCGCTGGAGCGCAGCTCCGCCAACGACGGCACGGAGACCAGCAGCCCCACAGCCACGGCCCAGTGGCTAAGCAGCCAGGCCACCACCTCGCACTGGAACGAGTTCCCCACCAAGGATCGTCGCAGCGCCTCGTACTTGGTCGGGGCGGCCTTCGCCTCCGCACTGGTCATGCACGGGACAACGCGGCCCTCGGCGAAGCCCACCAGCGTCTCGCGCACGACCGCGTCAAGCGGCGCCACGCGGCCACCAGCCTCGTGGATGCACCACTTGTCACGAACTGGTAGGGCGGGGCAGCAAAGCCCGCCTTCTCCCAGCCCGCCAGCTCAGCATCCGTGCACCCCCCGACGCCCGCAGGCCTGGGGCGGGGTTGCGAGCGCGGCGTCCAGCGAACAAACGTAGGCAAGGAGCTGGGTCCCAGGGTCGCAGCGGCGCGCCACGCGCACGGCCTGGGGGTCAACCTCGAGAGACAAGTGGACCGCGGGCACCAGACCGAGGATATCAAAAGCCCTGCGTCCACCCCCGACCACGTCGAAGAGGGTGATCAGCGCCGTCTCCTCCTCGCAGGCAGCGCTGGCAGGCCGCCGGCGCCGGGCGGCAAGCGCGCGGCCGCGGTCCGAGAGGGCCGTGCTGCAGACCACCGCGCCCGCAGCCTCCGACGCCTCAGACGCCGTCACCACGTGGTCAACCTCGAGCCGCATGTCTGCCACACACAGGGCAGAAAGCGCCAGGCACATCAGCAGGTCCTCGGCGACGTTGACGCTGAAGCGGCCGCCACTGCGCGCATCGCCAAACCATCGCCAAGCATAGGCGAATCTGGCGGCCAACGGGCGGCGGAAGCAATGAACGCACACCCGTCGGCCAAGTAGGATACACATCAGCCGCATGCTGGCACGCTTCTTTCCCGGGACCCAAAGGGTCAGACTGACTATCTCAGCAATGTAGCCCGCGGGGGGGCGGCGGACGCCCTCGACCCCCTCGACCAGCTCGCCCAGGGTGGTCGCACACACCACGCGGTGGAGGTCCTTGCCAAGGCACCCAGGCGAGCCTGCCGTCGCATAGCAGGCCCTGGCATCAGCCAGCAGGGCAGGCACCGCCCCCCGCAGCCTCTCCGCTTCTGACTTGTCGACGATCTCGGCGATCTCCAGGTTGTCAATGTAGACCGTCCATGCCAGGGGACAAAGCTCCTCCACTCCCAGCGGCAACCGCCGCCGACGCGTGACCTCGTTGCTTGGACTGAGTCCCCGAGGCACGCTGCCACTGCGCCGAAGCATGTTGCGGTGAGGATGGGTAGTCACTCCCACCACGCTGATCCACCCCATGCCGATCACGCACATGCAGGTCTGGGTCGCGCCGCCGTCCTTGAGGCCCAGCAGCCGAGACGGCACGGGGGGGCCGATCACCATGCGCGGCCACCACGGCGGCGGCGCCCTGAAGACGTAGAAGAAGGCCTTTCCGTCAACGCCGCTCCACAACAGGTCCTCCGACTCCGCAAGCACCAGGCCGCTCAGCTGATTCATCGTCGGCATCTCGGGCGCGTCTCCCACGATGCACTCCTGGCACATGTTCGGGAGGATCAAGTTCGTTATCAGCCTGAGGACGGGCCGCAGCTCCCCGTCGCTGCACTCGACGGGGGCGTCGCGGGCCTTCGGAACACCGAAGGCGCCGTCCGGAAGCGGAGCTCCGTCGCGGCAGGCGATCTCGCTCGGGGCAATGGGAGCGATCATCCCGCGCACATGCAAGGCCTCCACAATGCGATGCCACTCGGACTCGCAAGCCCGCGCCCGAGCGGAGGCGGGCGCCGTGCGACGGGGCGCAGGCGGCAGCAACCCCAGCGACGGGCCCAGCAAGGCATCGCGCACGAAGCCCGTCGCAAGATCGGCCGCCTCGATGGAGGCCGCGACACCAGGCGGTGGCAGGCCGTCCAGCACCTGTTCCAGGGTGAATTTGTGAGGTGTCGTGATCTCGGAGCCACCGTAGCCGATCTTGCGATACTTGAGGCGGCTCTCCCAGCTCAGGCCCCCAGGCAGGCTGGTCTCGATGCGCGCGGCCAGGAAAAGCCGCCGCGCCAGGCCGATCAAGGCGGCCCGCTGGGCTGCATTCACACGGCCGCGGCAGCATCGAGCGAACTTGAGCGAGCGAAAGCCCGCCTCCCAGTTCAGCGCCAGCACCGTCAAGACCAGCCTATAGTGGAGCGCCCCCCAGCTCTCGTCGCTGAGGTCCTCGCCGTCATGCGCGACATCGGACTTGATAACGGCAGGGTACGGTAACGGCAACAAGTCACGTTGCAGCCGACCGCCCTGGGCGGCCATGTGCTCGCGCAACTGTGGATCCAGGGAGTCGCGAACATAGCGACCAAGCGAGCCAGGGAAGCTCCTGAACAGGTTGAGAAGCATCGGGCCCCCGTCATAAAGCTCTCGGAGCAGATCTCCAGCAGCCCCTGCCAGATCACGCCAGTCGGCCAGGGGGCCCCAAGCAGCAGCAGCGCCATCATTAGCAGCAGCGGGCACGCGAGGCAGGCGAGGTGGAGCACGGCGAGGCAGCAGGGATCGCGACGGAGAAGCCCAAGGCGGTCTGCGCGAAGAGGCGGCCCGCAAAGAGCTGGCCGCACCCGAGCGCGCGCAATAAGCATGGGCACCATCGACGATCGGTCTCACCTCGCAGCTCCCGCCTCGGCAGAGCTGCCTCCGCCAGGGGGGCGCGGGCGCGAACTGTCGGCCCCGCCGGCGCTGCGCCCCCGGCCCCCGCGGTGGCGACCGCGACCACGCGCGGCCCCCATGAGGCCGCGCCACCGCCGTCGCGGGCTTCTCCTGCCTGAACTCTCGCCGCTCGGGGCTGCTCGCCAACACCGCTCACCTCGGGCGAGGGCCGTCGCCGCGGGGCCCCCGCGGCCTGCTCGGCGGAAGGGCGCGGGCGGGACTGCCCGAGGGCGCTGCGGCGGGCGGGCCCTCGGCCTCGGCTGCCGCCGCGGGAGCGCTCGGGGCGCGAGCAGGACTGGTCGCGCGCAGACGGAAGAAGCGGCCCCTGCCGCGGCCGCGCCCCTTCCCTCGGCCGGGAGCAGGCTGCCTCGCGCCCTGCGGGGCGCGGGGGGGGGGGGGGGGGGGGGGGGGCGAGCGTGCTCTCGAGCCCTCCCCCGCCTTCAACTCCGCGGGCCACGCCCGCTCGCCCCCGCGGCCCAGGCCCCCGAAGGCCCAGCGGCTCTTGGCGCCCTGCAGCCGCCTCCGCAGCACCGCCGAGCGGCGCGCCAGGTCGTGCTCATCCACCGAGGCGAGGGACGGCCTGGCGTCGGGCACGATCTCCAGCTCGCTCGCCACCTGCTAATCGAATCTGATGGTGAAAGCTCCAGCGCCGTGAACCTCTGCATCAGGACGTCGCTCACCTGCGGCGGCGATCCGCTCTCCAGCAAGTCCATTCTGAGACGGAGCTCCAAGATGGCCAGACGGGATCTGTTTCACACCACCCTCGGCTCGCGCAGCACGCCGATCGGAAGGTTTCACTCGCCGCTGTCGGCGAGAGCCTGGGCCTACGCAGCAGCGAGAGGCACGGGCCCGACAAAAACACCCCCTGAGACTTCAGAAACGGAAGGGGTCGGGATGGGAAGCCAGAGCCAAAACGTCATGGACATCTTTTCTGCATCTGCTCCGCATGCTGCCCCACCCCCTTCAGCCTCTCTAGGCCCGAGGGGGGGGGTAAGCACTCAGGGCCCCTTAAGCCCAGAGCGCTTCTCACACGGCCTGCACCTAGAGCTCTCTAAGAAAGCCCGTTAACAAACATGTATTCTGAGACGGAGCTCCAAGATGGCCAGACGGGATCTGTGTCACACCACCCTCGGCTCGCGCAGCACGCCGATCGGAAGGTTTCACTCGCCGCCGTCGGCAAGCGCCTGGGCCTACGCAGCAGCGAGAGGCACAGGCCCGACAAAAACACCCCTCACCCCGCAACCTCGGGTTCTCACTTAAAGACTGGGACTGGGGGGGGGGGTGCGTCAGCACTGATGGTATAATGAGAGAAGAGGAGAGAGAGAAAGCAAATTGGCTAGAGGCTAGAAGGCAACGGTGCCCAGCACGCCGCCGCGTCTCAGGCTGCCGGATCCACGGGCTCCATGGCCTGGCCGGCGTCAGATCCTGCGATATACGACAAGCCCCGCGATGCTGCAGATCGCCATGGGCTCTGAGTGGGGATGCTCCTCAGCGTCGAGCTTAGATCGTGAAGGGCCCTGCGGCCAACGTCTTTGATCTTTGCAGGTAGCCGTGCGTCATGAACGATCAGAGAATGTGGCTTCGCGTACCTTGCCATCGACTTGGCTTGTGTCCACCGCCCGCGTCTCTGAACTTATTGAATTGAACGTCTCTTGTGCAAGATATCGTAACTAGGTCCGCTGTGTCTCAACGTATGCATCGGTCCGATCTACTCAAGTCCGAACTTCGATTGAACACCTCTCCAAACTGAAGTAGCTTTGGCAGCTGTGGCGTTGAAAACTTTTATCGGTTGGCTCGATCTGCCTAACACGCTCCGCCAAGATGTGTGAGAGGAGACCACTGTCGATCACAACTCCCTGTTCTTGACCTGTCTTGACGCTTTCACCACGGTGTCTACGTCCTAGAAGTAGCGCAACGTTGATCGAACCAACTGCATGCTGAGTGCCATCACTTGGGAGGTCCTCGGAGTTCATTTTGACACTGACATGAACGTCTCCAGCTCTCAACTGCAACCAATCTTGTTATCGAAGATAACATTCGTAAGCTACAAGAAAGGCTATCCCTTCGCCCACGTGGCCTGCTTTGATCGCTTGGGAGGCTATGAAATAGATTGCTTCTGCACAGGCTGGACCACCTTCCAAAGACACTTGGAATTTCTCCCAGCTGTGCAGGGCACGCAAGGAAATCGGCAGCTCAGACTTCCACTCTGGAAACAGATGGACCAGTCAATGGTATAGTCGAACTCCTCTTGAAACAGATGCCCTCTCCACGAAGCAGAGGTCGTCTAGCTCCGCCGCTAAGGCGATGTCGCGCTCGGCCGCTGTAGCGACAGGAAGCCTCCTGAGACAAACTGTCATGAGGAAGGGTTTCACCTCCTTGATGTAGCTCAAGTTCGCGTTGTCCTGAACTGCGCGAACGAGAAGTCGCAGGGGCACCTCCAGCGTGCCCGAGCCCAGGCTAATTCTCGACACTGGGGGCTTCCGCGCTGCATTCTCGAAGGCGAGGGGGGCCCTTCTTGTTCTTGGGAATATGGGCTCGTTGCTTACCATTCTTCTTGGCGGTCTTCTTGGTGGTCACCGCTGCCTCGAGCGCTCCTGCGAACATTCCCATGTCGACAACCGCGGCTCGTCGTCGTTGTCGAAGGTGTGGTCGCTGTCAAAGTGGAAGTCCTCGCTCTGGTCGTTAGACTTCGGGTCTGCGGCGGCTGTGACCCTGACCTCTGGGGCTGAAGCTAGAATCAGGATCGTCATCACAGATGCCAGGCCAGGTCGTAGTCGTCGTGCATGCCCCTGATCTCCAGCATGTCCCCGAAGAGCCTCTCGAACTCGAAGTCGCTGTCCATCACGGTCCTCTTCTGCTCGGACTTGGTCTTGGTGATCTCGGCGCCGCCTATCTCCTCGCATCTCGACGGGCCGTCGGCAGGGTTCATGTCCGCGGGGATCCATCTCAGCGTCAGTCTGATACCTGTGGCCAGCGTGATCGCACCGATCTTCTTTAGCTGAGTCATCAAAGGTCGCGAGGAGCTTCGAATCTTTCTGACTGCTCCCACCGCAACCATAGAATCGCACAGAACCAAGACTCGGCTGAACCAGTTCCTTGATGACCGACACAGGTGCCGAGATACTGATGCGGCCGTTCTCACCTCCTGCACATTGATGTGATCGTGATAAGCCCCTGCCCCTTTCCATGCGAGATGCCATCTGGATACTTTGGCCCTGTGACTCATGACTGCGATCGGCTTCGGCGATGCGCCTCGAACTTCTCGCATGCGCCAATCGTGCAGCTTCAGCTCGTTGTTGGAGACGGCCTTGGCCACGCACGAGGCGTTGCACATGCGCGGCGGGTAGATCGCTGCGAGGCGTGTCCAGAGTCGCCCTTGGGAGTCGCGTCCACGAAGCTCCTGATGATCGTGATCCTGAGAGCACCCGCGCTCCAGCTCCTTCAGCGCCTGCACAATGGTCGGTATCCGAGCTGGCTTCTTCAGTCGGGCTCCGAAAGAACAGTACGCCATCCCCACGACGAGAACTCCATTCATCGTCAACAACTTCGCAATGCCGGGGAGGTCCCAGATCATCGAAGTCCTTGAATTATCCAATGACCTGTTCCTGAGGCCAGACACGCATAGCAAACAGAGATCGCCGCCTGCGCCAAGGCGTTGCCTTCCCGTACTCGCTGAACCTGCTGAGGAGAAAGCCTGGGGAGACCAAGTATCCAACGGCCTGGAGCTCGCAAGGGAGGTCGACGGGCTCGTGAAAAAGTAGAGCACGGAGGAGCCAAGTGGACCATGAAGAAGAAGGGCCGAAGAACAGCACGACAGACTAGCTCGACGAAGGACGGGTCCAGGAGGTCGTGGCGAGCCTGCTTTGCGTGGTCCACGACCAAGGTCTGGCACTGTAACTCCTCGCGGATCGCCTGCCCGAAGCCGCCGTACCCCGAGAAGATGTCGGCCATGAACTTCATAGGAGGGACCTCGCCATCGATCACCACTGGGGGGATGCCTCGCCTGGCTCGCTCGAGGTTTCGCCGCCGAGCAGTTCCTCCTCCTCCTCGCCCCTGGCCATGTCTCGAAGATGGTCGGCTCTCCACTGTCGGTCTACTTCGGTTTTGACTGTTTCTAGGCTTGCTGTTGTCTCGACTACTCCCAGGCCCTCCTCGCTTGCGTCCGTAGCGAAGACGCTGGAGCTCCACTGCGACTCCAAGTGGGTGTACATCAGCGGGGCCAGGTGGTACAGCATGTACAGCTCGTTGGTCACGCTCTCCCACAGGATGTGAACCTGCTCGTCGCCGCCGTACTTTGTCACGAACGTGTAGCAGGCGCCCGGCATGCAGAAGGCGACCCGACAGCACATCGCCAACCACACTCACGACCCAATTATCCTTGATAGCTCGGTTGAAGTCGCTCGACCTCGATCCAGGAGAGCCTTGGTCGCACCAATGACATTATTGACCTTTTCCTGCGCTGCCATCAAGCGATAAGGGCGTTGAGTAATCGTCACACCCAGAGAGAGAGGCATCGCCACACCGACTCCGTCCTTGTGCATGTCGAGGCCCACCTCCTTGAGCTTCTTCCCAGCGTGTTCGCGAGATGCTTCCGCCACCTCGCTCTTCTCGTCCCGCTGCAAAGCCATCGAGGCGAAGTCGTCCATGAACACCCAGTAGATGAAGGCCGTCTCGGAGAAGCTGGGAGGAACACGCCCGTCGACCAGCTAGGCCCCCCGCGGGAAGTCGGGTAGATCACACAGAAGGTCCCCCAGAGCACCGTGACAGATCGCAGGTGACCAGGTGAAGCCCATCAGCATCACCACCAAGCACAAGCAGCGGGCCCCTTTTCGGAACCTTCGGGATATCCTTGCCATGGCGCTTGAGCTCCTTCAAGAGCTGGGGGACCGTCGCGCCGCCGAACACCATGCACGGCCACAGCTCGCTGCAGCTCTTGCATCTGTGAAAGTAATCTGGCACGCCCCCCCACGTTGACTGCAAGATCCTGCCCTCTGCGATCTCGTCGGATAGGTCCAGTTCCGCCATCGCCATCAGAGAGCCCAGAGAAAGGCGCGGCGGCTTCTGAAAGCGCTTGTTCACCTGCCTCAGGTCCCAGACTGGACGAAGGATGAGCTGGCCTGCCTCGCCGACCTTCTTCATGACGAAGAAGACCGAGATCTCCGCCATTGCAGATGTCCGTGAAGCCGAGCACGCCTGACTCCCATAGTCTCAGCGCGAACTGGAGGCGAGCCGACTTGTTCCTCAAGCTGGGGTCCATGTAGGCTCTCGTCTTCTTGATATCGGCCTCGTGAACCTGGCTGGGCGGCAGGCGCATCCTCTCGTAGAGTCTGTCGAAGTAGTAGCTCGCTTTTGGTGAAATCATTCTCACGTCGCACGGCTGCGCCCCGGCTGGAGGCAGAGACGCCTCGCCGCCCACGAAGGGCATGACTTTCCCTCGTTGCGGCGCGTCGTCGTTGTCCTTGTCTGATACATTGAAGCCCAAGTAGGCCCCAGGCTTGGCATGCAAGGCCAGCCGCTCGAAAGCGGACTCGGCGTCGGAGTCGCGCATCTTCCGATCGCGCGCGCCCCGGTGGCACTGCAGCACCCTCTCGGAGATCCTGCGCGGCAACTCGTGGCTCATGCCCCACTCCTTGAGTCCCGCGGGTCGTGGTAGGAGTTCGTCGTCAGCGCGGCTAAGGACCTCAGAGCGGCGTTCGCCCTGACCCTGATCGCTCGCCCCCGGGCGAAACGCGACCTCGACCGTTCCGGAGGAGATGAAGGGAGGGACGGCGCCGACAGGAGCGGCAGCACCTCCAGGGGGTCGCGCACTCGACCTTCTGATGGGAATTCGACCTCCGCTCTCATCGCGATGAGAAATTGAGAAAACCCGCCGATCCGGCGCGTGAGTTTCTGAGAGCGTGGGATTGAGCTCGCTCAAGCTTCGCTCTGCGATGGGGGGGGGGCTCATTTCCGACCTCATTCAATGCTTCGGGGGGGGGGGGGGACTTCATTTCCTACCTAATTCAATGCTTCGCCCCCTCCCCCCCTCCCAGAGCGGAACCCCCCATCCCCTGCAGAACGCCCCCCCCCCGCCCCCTGCAGCCCGCCCACCCCCCCCCTGCAGGGCGGGCGGACCTCGCCCCTGCAGCCCCCCCGCACCACTGCAAAGCGAACCCCCTCCCCCTGAGCCCTCCCCCCCCCCCTGCAGAGCACCCCCCCCTGCGGACCTCTCCCTGCAGCCCCCCCCCTCCTGCAGAGCGGATCTCCCTCTCCCCCCCTGCCCCCCCCCCTCTGCAGAGCAGACAGCCTCCTGCAGCCCCCCCCCTCCAGAACGGACCCCCCCCCCCCTGCAGACCGGACCGCCCCCCCCCCCTGCAGCCCGCCCCCCCCCCCGCCCGCTGCAGAGCGGGCCCCGCTCCGTGCACCCCTCCCTGCAGAGCGGACGCCCCCCCCGCCCCCCCCCCCCCGCCCCACCCCACCCCCCCACACCCCCCTGCAGAACGGGCCCCGCCCTGTAGCCCCCCGCCCGCTCCAAAGCGACCCACCCCCCACCCCTGCACCCCCTCACCTGCAGAGCCCACCCCCCCCCCCCCCCCCCCCCCCCTGCAGAGCGGACCTCCCCCCTGCAGCTCCCCCCCCTCCCTGCAGAGCGGACCCCCCCCCTGCCCCCCCCTCTGCCGAGCAGACCCGCCCTCCTGCAGCCCCCCCTCCTCCCAGAGGGGAACCCCCCCCCCCTGCAAAGCGGACCGCCCCCCCCCTGCAGCCCACCCCCCCCCCCCCGCTGCAGAGCGGACCCCGCTCCGTGCAGCCCGCCCCCTGCAGAGCGGACGCCCCCCCCTTCCCCCCCCTGCAGAGCAGACTTCCTCTCCTGCAGCCCCCCCTCCTTCAGAGCAGACCACCCCCCCCCTGCAGCCCCTCCCTCTGCCGAGCGGACTCCCCCTGCAGAGCAGACCCCCCCCTGCCCTCTCCCCTGCAGCACCATCCTGATCGTCATCTTGCGGAGCGCCCCGGATCGGCGGCACTGGCCGGAGGCCACTACAATAACGCTGTGCAAGTTGCGGTAGATGTAGGCAGCCTCAAAGATGATGGCCGCCAAGAGAATGCGCTTCGCGAAGCGCCTGAATAGCGAGCACCTCCCAGCAGTCAGTCGCCCTTGCTCGGCGCGTGCTTCTTGTCCTGTAGCTTGTCGAGGGATTTGGCGAGAAGGGCGCGATGAGCCAAGCGTTCACGAAGCTCCCTCTCCACGCCGTCGATGAGCAGCCCCCCCTGATCCGACTTGGACGCGTCGAGCTCCTCCAGCAGGGCGTAGTTGACGCGAGACTTCCAGCCGGCCTTTGAGCCGTTGGGAGGCTTCCAGTCCGACCTCTGCTTCACGTGCTCGAAGGCACTCTCGATGCCGTGGAGGCGCCGCATCGCCAGCTCCGTCGTTTTGTAGTTGATCCAGTCCGCAGGCGCCTCCACCATGGAACGATCGAGCATCGTGCTGATGAAAAGAGCCTCCTCCGCCATGTGGTTGCCATCCAGCTGCTTCGTGCGAATCCTCTCCCTGACGCTTGACACCGCTGAAGCTCCACTGCGGTAAAGGCGAGCGACCATCGACGGTGCCACTCTCGTCCTGATGCCTCCTGGGATCGTCCACGCCATGTCGCTGCAGTAGGACTGAAGCTTCTCCTTGGCGAGCTCGCGCATGTCCTTGAAGGAGTCGTCCAGGCCCCTGACCAACGAGTCGATCTCGGGGTTGGGCGTTGAACTGACTACCCGCGGCTCGGACACGCTGGCAGCGGCGGCCATGCTGTCCTGCTCCACATCTCCTTGTGGCGGTCCAGCCTTTGAAGGAGGGCACCCATCATCTGGTCGTAGTTGTCCGCGCTGGTTCCAGGCTTCGCTGGGGCTGGAGGTGCTTACGGAACTGGAGTGGGCTGAGGAGGCCCCGTCGGGCGCGACGCCTGCCGCTCCTCGAGAGCTGAGAGCCTCTCGGCTACCATGCCCAGCTGCCCCAGAACTTCGCCTCCCACCGAGTCCGAATCCTCGCCGTCCGATACCTGGGTGCCCTCGCCCCTGGGAGTTGATGATCCAGACTGGCTTGGTGACGGCGTGGCCGACCATGAGGGCCAGCTCCAGCCAGGAAGAGCAGGAGCTGACGTACCAGAAGACGTTGTAGATGAGGGAGCTGGCGAGGGACGCGAGGACCTGCAGCAAGACATGAAGAAGCCACTCACGAGCATCACCATCACCGAGAAGTAGAGCGGCTCGAGGGCCCCTGACTCGTGCATCTCGAACACCATCTCGACCTCCTCTTTGAAGTGGTCCACTGTGTCCACGGTCTCCTTCAGCGACGCGTAGCCCCACTTCACCCACTCCATCGCGTTGAGGTAGACGACGGCACGCCAGAGCACGAACGTAGAGCCAGCAGCTGTGCCTGAGCTCCGGCGCGCCCACACGTAGCCGCCGACGTTGGAGGCAAGCTTCATGAGTCACGGAACCGCGCGGCGGCGGTGGGATCTGCGACCTGCAGCGCCTCCGCCTCGTGGATGGCGAACCCTGGTGATCTTCCCCGTCGTAGCTGCTGACCCCGTCGCGATGATGCGATCGGCTGCCTCGATGGCTTTGCTCTTCTCCGCCGCGGAGAGGCCCTGGAAGCTGCCGTGGTTCACGCCTGCAAACCTCGTCGACTTCACCCTCGCCGGCTGGCCGAGGTCTATGACCTGAAGCCTGCCCGTCGGGTCGGTGCAGACCCACCTCTTCTCGCCCACTGTGGCGCTGAACTTGCTGACCAGGAGCATCGCGAGGCCCTGGTTGGAATCCGCCCTCGGGCGGTAGCACACCCACCCTGTTCCATCGCTGGAAAACCATAGGCTGACTGTCAGGCTCGTCCCCGCACGGGTCGACGTCCTCCGCGTCGACACTGGGCTCGTCGAAGGGCGCTTCGGGCTCTGCCTCGAGGTGGCCCAGAAGCAACGGAGAGCCTGACAACAAGTTGCCAAACTCGCCCGACGCGCATTTCAACAGATCCTCGACAGCGTCCTCCTGCACCAGGGAGGTGCCGAGCACGCAAGCGGCGAGCCAGGAAAGGCGCGTCGTGGCTGCAATCCCGCGCGCGCTCGACAGGAGGCGCGGAGAGGGCTGCTGCTCGTTGAAGCTAGAGCCAAAACGTTACGGGCATCTATTCTGCATCTGCTCTGCATGTTGCCCCACCCCCCCCAGTCTCTGTAGGCCCGACGGGGGGAGGTTTAAGCACTCAGGGCCCCTTGAGCCCAGAGCGCTTCTCACACGGCCTGCACCTGGAGCTCACTAAGCAAGCCCGTTAACAAACATGTAGCGCCGTCGCCAGCGCCTGCAGCTCGCGCACCGCGTTGACCCGCAACTGCGAGACGGGATGGTGACCGAAGACGATCGCCTGCAAATAGCCGACCACCTTCGGACGCGCCTCGGTACCATCCCCCTCCCGCAGGCCCATCACGCGAGCGATGCTCTGCATCGCCTCGTCGTAGAGGGCGCCGGGCTGTCTTTCCGCCAGCAGCCTCGCGCTGCCGCCGCCAGAGGGGGCGTCGCGAAAATGCAGCTCGCCGTCGCCATCACTGCGGCTGCCTGACTCGCTGCACTGCCGCCGCCTGCCGCGTCCGCCGACGCCACGGGAAAAGGCCCCTCCTCCTGCGAGGGTCCGAGCAGCCGCGGCCGCCAAGCGATCGGGCGCGGCACCGCCAGGGATGGGCCCCAGGGCCTGTCGAGCCACGCCGCCGCCGCGGCCCCCGAAGGCGCTCGGCCGCACCCAGGGCCCCACCAGCCCCCGCGCAGCTGCAGCCGCAGCCACTCCACGCGCAGGACGGCGCGCCCAGCCTGCGCGGGCTCGCCGCAGCGCGCCGGGCCTTGCGCGCAGAGGCGCAGCAAGCCAGCAGGACCGGCTCCACGAGTCGGGAAGGCACCGTCGAGGCGCATCGCCTCGGCTGGGAGCGACGCTCCCCTGAACTGGGCACTCAGGCACTGGCCCGCAGCCCCAGGCGCGCCGACCTCGTCCACCTCGAACAAGGATGCGCCGCTGATGCCGCCCATGGCGTCGTGCGTCGGCAGCTCCACGTTCATCCCCTGGGCCCAGCCAGCCCCCGCCAGCACCGAGGCCTGCGTCCAGGCGCCGTCTGCCAGCGAGTCCAGCTGCACTCCAGCCGCTAGGACGGCGGCGCCTCCAACCACTCCGAGGGGCGCGCCAGCTCCGAGCGCCGCGGCAGCAGGCGGGGCCCCCGCGCCACCAGCAGCCCCGCCGCCAGGCGCAGCGAGCGCGCCCACCAGCGCGGCCCCAATGCCGACGCCGCCAGCGCCCACCGCCCTGGCGCCGCCAGGCAGAGCAGGCAGCGCGCCGCCTCCGACGCCGCCGAGGCAGCCAGGGAGCCCAGGCAGGGCGCCGAGCCCTGGCACCACGGGGGCACCTGCCGCGCCGGCCGGCGGGGGGCCTGCGGCTCCGCTAAGGGCGTCGAGGCCGCCTGACGCAGGAGCAGCACCTCCGCCAGCAGCCCCAGGCCCAGCGCCTCCTCGCACACGTCGGTGAGCGCCTGCAGCGCCCCGTCCGCGGCCGCGACCGCCTCCGCCAGGGGCTGCCTTGGCCTAGGCCTCGCCCTCGGCCTTAGCCTTGCCCTTCGCCTTGGGAGGCATCGGGCTCGAGCGTCGCGAGCGCCGCGAGCTGGGCACCGGGGTGGCGAGCCTGCTCCAGCAACAACGCCCGCTCGCGCGGCGCTAGCCGCGCCTCGCGCGCCGCCTGCCTGGCGAACGCAAGCAAGTAGTACAGCGCGCACACCTCCAGCAGCCCTCCAGCCTCCGCCAACGCGAGGCTCTCGCCGGGGGCGAGCCGCCCCTCGCACCAGCAGCAGATCCGAGGCCGCTGGGCCTGCAGTGCGGCGGGGGCGCGAGCGCGCAAGCCCCCAGGAGCATGCCCTCCTCGAGGGGCCCCATCGAAGCCAGAACAGCTGCCGTGCGATCGAATGCGGCCAACAAACACTCGCGCCCCTTTTGCCCACACATCAACCGTAAACGCCTGTATGTATGTTTGCATGTATGGATGCATGGTTGCACACATGCATGCATGTAGTGATGTTTATCTGTGTAGTGATGTATGTATGTGTGCCTGCATGCATGCATGCATGCATGCATGTGTGTATGCACGTATATAGCACACCCACGCTTCTCGCGCCATGACCACCCCTCTGAGAGGGCAATATATGTGCGAGCGGGAAGGCTACCCGCAAGTGGAGACACACGAGCGCACAAAGACAATGAGGTGAACTCATACACTGTCAAATCCACTGTCGAGTCGAAGCCTTGGCGGGCCAGAAGAACACTAATGTGTTATAGGAAAAGGGAGGGAACTTGAGCGAAGACAGTTGCGGATGCAACAAGATGCGGCCAACTCTGTGAGGACGGGGCTCCAAGATCAATGCACAAGTACTGTCAGATCTCACGCCCACGTTTCTCACGCCATGACCACCCCTCTGGGAGGGCAAGATATGTGCGAGCGGGAAGGCTACCCGCAAGTGGAGACACACGAGCGCACAAAGACAACGGGGTGAATTCATACACTGTCAAGCCCAGGCTGAGACAAATCCAAAGTCTTACCATGGCGCGCCGATCAATCTACAATATTACTGAGCATTCACACAGCACGAAAAATCATACTCGCACGGAACTGACTGACGGGGCGCCCGAACAAAAGGCGCGGGCACGGCTCAGCCGTCTTGGCGAGCCATTTGCCGTCAGGACCTTTTCCGTGCAACACAACATGCTTCTGGCCAGTACGATCACACTCGCGATTATTCTTGGCGCTGTGACACACGCGCGCAGCTGAACCCAAATCAAGATGCACAAACATGAGCCTGGTCCTCTTACGCCAGGGAGCTCCATCAATGCAAAAATCAGCGATTGTCTCCCTCATTCCCCGGCGGCGGCCAGCGGCGAAGAGGTAGGGCGTCAGCCATAGGCGCGACGACGCTGGGTTCCCCAGCGCTGCAGGCACGCCGCGCTCGAGGCAACACATCAGGGCCTCGGCGGAAAAGCGGCAGAGCTCGTTCGCCACCTCCACCTTGACCCTGCCCCCCTCCGACAGTCCGCCCAGGCCCAGGGGCTGCTCATCAGACCGCAACCGGGGGGGCCCTGCTCCGGAGTCGCGCGCGCGGGAAAACGTCGAGCACGGCGCCCCGAGCCACACCGCCTTGTAGCAGCCCGAGAGGATCCACCCGAGGATGCGGCGCTGGGCGGCCCTGGAGCTGAGGTCGTGCGAGCTGGCGGTCCACGTCGACCTCGAAGATCGGAAGCCCCCACGGCGGCTGCTGCCTCCAGCAGTGGCTGAACCGCCCGCTTCCGGCAAAGACCTCCAGCGCAAAGCCGCCAGGCCCAGCAAGTCGCGGCATGTCCGCGAGAGGCACGCGCCAAGCGTGCGCTCGGCCTCGAGCGCCCGGTTCAGCTCCTCTGGCGTCAGCGGCCGGAGCACCTGGTTGTCGCTTCCTCTCTCGCACCGCTTCGCCGGTCGTGGGCTGTGCCACCTGCCTGTCTTGTAGCTGCGGAACTCGGTCAGCGCCTCGCGCGACGCTCCGCCGCGCCGAAGCTGCCACACCGGGGGCGCGGCAAGGCTGGGCAACAGCCGCCTTGCCGCAGCCCTCAGCCCCTCTGCCACTGGCCAGCGCTGACGGGGAAGAGAGGCCTTCCCACCGCCGCGGACTCCTGCAGGCTTGCCAGCAGCGGCACCACCGGGTCGAACTCGGGGCCGTCGAGCATCATGCATTCGCCTTGCGCCCCCGCGGCCGCCAGCTGCTGCCGCGCCAGCAGCTCCTTCTCGAAGAACTGCTCGTTCAGCCACGCCACTAGCGCGCCGTCGGCCTCGAGAGGAGTCTTCAGGCTTAGGCCCTCCTTCGAGGCCCAGCGCGCGAAGCAGCTGAATCGGCTGCGGTAATCCCTCTGGGTGGCCAGGCCGACCGTCTCGTCCTCCAGCGCCGACAGCGGGCGCGAGCCCAGGGCCCCCCCCCGTTCCAGCCGCGTCGGCCGCGGCTCCAGCAGCGCCAGTTTCCGCCCGGCGGCGGCCAGCACGCGATTGGCGCCCACGCGATGGTGCACTGCGGCACGCGCGTGAGCCGCGGAGCTGGCGCTGGCTCGCCGCCGCTGGCGCCGCGCTCTCTGCAACCCCCCGCTCGCCTTTCTCTTCTCGCCCGTCCTCCTCGTCTGGATGCGCCAGCCCGGGCGGCGGGCCGGGGGCGAAAAGCTGGCCCCCGTCGCAGCTGATGAAGCCGCCGGCGACTGGGTCCACGAACTCAAGGCCTCCTCCGCCCTGCCAGTCGCGAGTCCTCCAAGCCCTCTCTTGCTCGGGCCGCGACGCAGCGTCGCGGGCGGCCGCGGCGCTGCGCTCCTCCGAGCCTCGCGAGGCCCCGCCGGCAGCGTGCTCTCTGAGGATATCCAGCGCGTGTGCACGACGGCGAAGCTGGCCAGGCACAGAGCTGCCCACTGCCTAAGGCAGCGTGCCATCGCCCGGCTCGAACTCCGCCCCATTGTTATCCCGAGCACAACGGCCATGGCATCGCTGAGGACCAGATGTCGACGGCCAAAGGCCTTGCTATCTCGAAAGATGTGACGCAGAGCCCAGACACCAGCACGAGCCTCCAAGATCACCTGGTCCCCCGAAACGTTCCAAGGCCGACGCACCACTCGCCTCCAGCAGCCGCCCCAGACAGACATGGGCACCGCAGGCACCCCGCGAAGTTATCCTTGTTCTTGTCCCCAGACTCCCTCATCATCACGTGGTCGTACCCGCTGCTCCCCAGACTTTGTAAACCTCCACCTATCAAAATATCGCCCAGCATACTTGATCGCCCCCGCGTCGCATCGTCGCTCCATGACCCCGTAGCCCCACTCGCTCGCGTCGAGCACGGCCACCTTGGGGCCCCACTCCATTTTGAGCCCCCTGGAGGCCAAAGGCACAGGATGACTAACCCACTCCAACTCTTGTCTTACAGAGTCCTAACGAGGTGATACAGGGACAGGGCGACGATCGACGAAGGCGCATACCGCGTGCAACACGGAAAGATCGGGGCGCCGCAGGAGAACACGGAAAGTGACATGACCCACGATGCTTCTCAACTGGGGGCCACTCGCTCGCCCCCGACGCAATATTTCTCGCGAGCCGAGGACGAGGCGCCAAGCAGTCCGGGGGGCCACGCCCACGGTTGGCCGCCACTCGTCGAAATGCCAGCCCAGCGCGTCGCCCCCGCGGCTGCAAGTGACTGGGTGCACGCCTGTGAAGGCCGAGTAAAGCGACCGGCGTGCTGAACCCCCCCCTTCGCGACAGGAGGTGCGTCGCGCATTCGTCGCCCGTGCGCCGCCCGTGCGTCGGCCGCCGAAAAGGCCAGCCGTCCTCTCGAACGTGCACGTCGCCCTCGCAAGGGGGCAATTTGGCGAGTGCGTCGCCAGCGCGGCGGACACCCACGGGGCGGATCGCACGCACGTCGCCCTCTCCACGGCCGCTGAAAAGGCCGGTCGCCTTCGGGAAAAAGAATGTCGCCCACGCTGCGGCCCTCTCGGCAAGAAGAACGGCCGCTGGGCCACCTCGGCAGATCAGCAAATCCCTCTAACATTACGAATGGAGCGATGCTGCTGAACGCACCCCGGCGATAGGCCAGCAGGTCCCCGCAGCCGCCGCCACAGCCGCCGCAACCGCCGCCAGCGCCAAAACTACCGCCGCCACGATCACCACAAACGGATGCGACCGCAACCACACCCACCGCGACGATTACGACCAACACCATTTACCGCCATCACCACCGCCACGACCATCACGCTTCTCGCGACCACCACAACGACCGACACTTGCACGATCACCGACGTGACAACCACCAGCCCGCCCACCACCAGCGGCACGACCGCCGCCAGCGCGACCAAGGCGACGAACGCGACCGCGACCATGATCACCAACATGACCATTACAGAAACACCCGCCCACTCCGCCCCCCCCCCCCTCCCCCCAATTCCCCTGCGGGGCCGCCCTTGCCGACGCGCCCGCCTCGCGCCCCTGCCCCCCCCCCTCCTTTTTCCCTTCGTCATCTTCCTCTTCCACCGCCAGCGGCGGGGCCGTTCGCGGAAGGCGGGGGCGCCGCTCGCGGCGACGCGCCGCGGCCGTGGAAGGGGGCCGAAGGAGAAAAAGAAAATGAAGAGGGACACGGGGTGGCAAGGGAAAAAAACAGAGACGAGAGAGGAGGGGGGAGGGACAGACAGAGGGAGGCCGGTAGAAAGGAGGAGGAGAAGGGGAGGAGGAAGGGAGACGAGGCAGGAGAGAGGACGAAGGAGGAGGAATGGCAAAAGAGGAGGGACGACGAGTAAGGAAAAGGGAAATAACAAGGGCTAGCACCGCCCTTCCTGGCGCAATGGAGGACGCAGCCGCCGCCATGTGTGAATAACGCGAGCACGGCGGGCCGACGGCCGTTGCGCGTTGTTGCTCGGAGAAATGCTAGGGGCGGAAAAAAACGCGATTGCGTCGCGCATGCGTCGCGCGTGCGTCGCGCGTGCGTCGCGCGTACGTCGCGCGTGCGTCGCGCGCGCGTAGCGCATGCGTCACGCGCGTGGCGCGTGCGTCGCGCGTGCGTCGCGCGGGTCGACCGTGCGTCGCGCGCTGGCAAGGGTGCTTCGCGCGCGGGTCGGGGTGCGTCGCGCGCGCGTCGCGCGTGCGTCGCGCGGGCGTCGCTCGGGTCGTTCGCGCGTCGCGCGTCGCGCGCAGGTCGCGCGCGAATCGCTAGGGGCGCCGCGGGCTCTAGGATGTTTGGTAAAACTGATGGGTCTCCCCGCTTCCAGAACTGGCGCGGGCTTCCACTTGCGGTTCCCTTGCTCCTGCCCTTGCCTCTTTGCTTGCCCTTTCTCTCTCCCTCTCTTCACCGCCGCTTGGCGGCCAAGCTGGGGGTCGGCCTCAGGTGGCCTAAGGCCGGGCCCCGGGACCGGGGCCGGAAGACCTTCGGGACCAGGACCAGGACCGAAGGGGGGCGCCCGCGGCCGGATGGGGCCGCGCCTGGCGCCGCGCGGCCGGGGGGCGGCAGCGCTGCTGCCCGAGGGCGCGCAGCTGCGCAGCGGCGGAGAGCCCGGGTGCCGGGCGGCGCCGGCTCACGCTAGCCGCGGAGCACCCGGGGGCGGAGGGGCGGCAGCCGTGACATGGGCGCTGCCCGCCGCCGCCGAGGGGGCGGCCGGGCGCACATCAGCGCCGGCGCCCGCTCAGGCCCAGGCGAGGGCGGCGAAGCGCGCACGCGCGCTGGGGCCCGCCTGGAGGAGCTGCCCCGGGGCCCCGGCGCCGCCGCTCGTCGGCGGGCGCCCGGGTTGGGCCGCGGTTCCATTCGTCATCCTCATGGAGATGGAGGGGGTGGCCAACGCCGAGCTCGTGCACGAGCAGGCGGCCCCCGACCTCGAGGTCTACTATGACGACGAGGCGAGCGTGGACATGAAGGGGTTCTGGCTCGACGGGCCCATGGACTCCTCCGCGCAAGTGGACGCGCTGCCGGTCGGGGTTCACTCCGCCAGCGGGCGTGCCGCTCCAGCAGGGAGTGGTGGAGGGGGCCGCCGCGCGCGCGCTCTGCGCCGCCGGCCGACCCACCCCCGCAGGGCCCGGCCCACACCGCCCCTGACCCCTCCGACGGGGACCCATCGTCCTGAATCACGGGTTGGGGTCTTTTCGGCATCAGCTGGAAAGACATCGGCAACCGCACGCACTGGTTTGCCGAGGGGATGGGCGGAGGTACCTTCCGGGCTGTGGGGAGTTCCAGGTCGGCCTTCTCGACCCGCGAGGCAGGAGGTTGGTTGAGCTCCGACGGCGGCTGGGTGCTGTACATGACCGACCAGGTGGGCCTCTACCTGTTCGGCTCCGCGTGGCCGTTGATCGCCGGGCTCGTGGCGATCCTCTCCGGCACTGGCGTGGTCGCACTTCTGGCCCACAGCCTGAGGACGCTCTTTGCACCCTGCAGCTGGGCAGCCTGGACATGCGGCCTGGTGCTGGCGTGCTGCCCCTGCCCGAGGCGCAAGACGCCTGGCGAGGCTAAGCTTGACAAGCTGGTCCCGCCGGCGGCGCCGCCCCTCACCGACGTAGTGTGGCACGGCCCAGCCGCAGGTGCAGACCCGACGACCGACTGGCACCGCAAGAGCATCAAGGAGGGCAGGGGCTCCAAGCGCGGCCAGAACGACCTCAAGATCAGGGTCGACTACCGGGTCGCGCGACTCAAGCTCAACATGAAGTCCCCGGAGCGCATCAATCGCCAGGGATTGTGGGTTGAGTATGATTCTTTGAAAGGCGCCAGCGACAAGGGCTTCAGGCGCGAGCTAGAGCAGCGTGATCCGCGCTGGCTCCACTTGTGTCGCTCCACCAGCTGTACCGGATGCAAGGGGCGCGAGAACGAGCTGCACTGCAAGGAGTATGCCGCCCTTGACAACGAAGCTATCGTGGACCTCGGCGACTATTCAGAGTTCACGCCTTGCCGGATCTTCGTCTGGCTCTGGAGGTGGTTGGGCCTCGTCTACAAGCTGCTGCTATACGTCCTCTCATGGCTTTCGCGTTGCGGGGCGTGCATCTGCCGCCGGCGACGCCGCCGTCACAGGACTGGCGATGCGGAGCCTGGCGTGCAGGGATATGTGGCAAGGTTGCTTGACCAGGAGTCCGAGTCCGAGGTAGACGCCGAGGACAACCCCTGCGAGGAGGTGAAGGTAGGGCTCATGATCAAGGGCAAGATGCGCCCGCTGGCGCCCGAGGGATGTCGAGACGCCGCACGCGGCGATCCTACCGTGCTGTTGGTGGAGGATGGCCGGGCTTCGGACCTCACACTTCCTATTGAGGGGAACGCGACAGCCTGCCTTTGCGAGCATCACAGGCAGATCTACATGGTCCTGCGCTATGGCGAGAAGTGCTCCCAGGTGACGTGCTTCCGCGAGGCGGTGGGCATGGCCTCGGGGGCCCCACTCTGCCTGCAGCACCTCGGAGGCGATGCCGCCAAAGCGCTCCACGACAACCCCACGGGAGTCGGGTTCCTCGCGGGTCTGCGACGTCGAGCTCGGCGGAGCCCTGCTCCGCGGAGCCGCACGCCTGAGCGTGCCGCTGCGGCACCAGCTCGGAGTCGCACACCAGAGCGCCCCGCTCCGGCAGCCTCCGCTCCGGAGGCGACCACCAGCCCGGGCGACCCCGCCCCTGCGCCGGCTGGGCCACCGAGCGTGCGCTTCGAGGCGCCGCCGGTTCCAGAGTTCCCCAAGCCGCCCACGCCGCCGCCCATGCCCCTCGGGCGATACTTCATCGTTCGGGCGAGGGTACAGCGGCCAGAAGGAGCGCAGTGGATGATTTTCCGAGGGAGGGCGGCCAACGCTGCCGCGGCCAGCGCAGTGGCGGACTACCTCGACGGCGCGATGGCTCTCGAGGTGGAGGACCCGACTGGCGCAACCATCCGCTTTCTCGTGAAGCCTGACGGCGTCATCCGTGCGCCTGCCCCAGGACCCTCAGGGCGTCTGCCAGCGGGGTTCATCGAGGAGATGCTCCACCACGCGCCCCTGGGCTGCGAGGAGCTCGGCATCAGCGTCTCGGCGACCAACGTACCCGAGAAAGTCTGGCATAAGCTGGCGGCGTGGCACGGGCTCCCCGTGGGCGGGCGAGCCGGGCGCTCAGCGAGGCTCGCTGGCGGCTGCTCCGGGAGAAGGTGGTCAGCTTGGTCAGGTGGCACCCTGAGGGAGGCGCGGCGCCCAGTCCGAACTTCGAAGCGAGAGCTACAGAGGCTGACGCTAAGCTGCGCAGCCACTGGCAGCGGCTTGACCGCAGCAGCTCGCCCAGGCCACCAGCTGGGTCCACGCGTCGTGGCTCACGCTCCCCGTCCGCCGAGGGCGGGCGGGCAGCGAGCTCCGAGGCACCAGTATCAGGAGAAAGCCATCAAGGGGACGACGGTGGG